CGTACAAAATTATTTTCTGTGTACTATGTGCTTGAAGCCCACAAAACTGAAGCCTGGAGTATTTCAATCGACGAATATTTGGAAGATAAAAAGTTCTATTCCTTTGACCATTGTCGTTTTATTGGTAACAGTGACTATACTGACCATAGCCCATACGTTTCAGGCATAGCTGAAATACCCCTGTACGAAATTAGAACGTAATATTTCATATAGGGTGTTATTCAAAGGTAAATTCTGATATATTGTCAAGAATGGATCGTAACTATAATAATTTTATTGGGAATATTTGAAATTCGCATTTCATTCAAGAATTATTTAGCTTACAGAATATCAGTAGAGAATCACGATATTCAAAGGAAATTATAGTTCGGATTTCAATTCTATGATTATTCAAGTAAAGTCACTGACGGGCATAAACTGCTGGTTTTGGAAATTTCCTAATGAATACACTAGTTTTTATGCAGAATCAATTACCACTACCAAAACCAACATAAAAATGTATTGAAGAAAAAACCGGCAGTTGTGGTTCGGACAGTGGACCGTGAAGTATAGTTTTTTCAAATTCGCTAACAAAAAAGTAAATCTTGAACATTTTCGCATCATGTCTAAACTTCGTGAGTGGCAGTTCCAATCCTCCAACGAAAAGCGAGCCTTTCTGTAAGTACGTTTTTTAATATTACTAGTTTTAGTTTTCTCGTTTTGTTTTCATTTGAGTTGGATGTATCTTACTGGCAAATTGGTCAATTCATCTCATGCCCGAATTGTTTTTTTATAAAGATGAATAAATTTGTAAAGTGGAGTTGAATTCTTTGATTATAATTTTCATAAAACCTCTTGCAAGCGAGTTAGTTCGAGTTACGATTGTGGGGGTTAGAACCCGCTCGTGACAATATTTGCATGATTTTTTGATCCACCCTGTATCAAAGGGTCGATATTATCTAGTGAAGTAGTCAACCAAAAATGAATGAAATTGGAGTTGAGACATTTTTCATTATGATTTATATGTTTTTCTGGAAATATGAATCATATAGTAACTAATTCGAGGGAACATTCTCTAAACAAAACAATTTTCAATGTCATCTCAAATTTTCATCATACATTTCGACAAAATCAATATCACATCAAGCATCAGTATATTTATCCCCTTGCAGTGTTTGAAGAGTGTTTGTCTGTCATTCTATTCGTGTTATATTCGACAGCTCTCTATAAATCGAGACGATTTTCAGAGTAAATGTGTGGTGAAGTGTGTGAAATACGGTCAACTTGAGTTTTCAAAATGGTAAACCCAATACTTTGATTCTATTGAATCATGGTTGACCTAGAAAAAATCTTCCTGTATAGCTTACAACGATGAAACTTTGTATCTAAGTATTCTGTGTTTCTTCATTAAATCACTACTTCATCGGTTGTTGATATAGGACTTAGATTCTATCACAGGGTGAATCGAGAAAGCAACAATATTTAAATGTTCTATTGAATAACTATTGGTACTGGTACTGGTGGGGGACGTTTGCACGTCAGCAAGCCCCAAGGTGTTTTTAATGAGTGATGTGGTTCGCTCAAGACAGCTGGCTAACATCCTTTTCAGGAACCGTCCATCAGCTCTCTTTCAGAGTTTTCTGGCTGTGTTTTGTAGGCTAGTAATGTATAGTTTATGCAAAGTCAGTTGAACAGATCATCAAACGAATTTTGGGCCGCGCTGCCGCACTCTTTGAACTTTCAAAGGGACCGACGGCTTGCGGTGATGTGTTTTTCCAACTGACTTTGCACAAACTATACTCACTCTCACTACCATATGCTGCAGTGGCAGGCCTGCCAGCTACCTCGTTAACCCCCGTTAGAGACCGAGGTGCACTAAGCAGCATTGGCCCGCTCTCACGCTCATCTGGTACTCCTATCTCTTTTCTGATGCTCACAACCACATCATCATTTTTTTCTACGTGTTCTGTATAAGCGTTGTCAGAGAGTTGAAGTGTTGTCTTGAACTGTAACGTAAACGTAGAAATTGACAGCTACGCATGCGCATTTTCCAATTCTTCACGTTTGCGTTGTTAGTGGGCTTACGGGTGTACGTTATCTCACGTACCTTCACGTATACCTCAAATATCAACGTACGTTAACAAAACTATACTCGAAATATACCGATGAGTCAAAATTATCAAATTTGGGATCCCCAACGAGTTCTGCATCAAGGAGTCCTCTCATTTTGACAGGAATCAATGTTCGAATCTAAACACACAACCAAAAATGACCAATACAAACCGAAAACCAAATGTATTATTACGTTATGATGACAGTGACGACTTCAACTCCCTTAACGTCTACGTGGAGGTCTACGTACAGTGATTACTTCAACTCTCTATTAACTTCATGCGCCACTTTAGGAGCAGCACTGTTAATTGGAACGCAACAGCGAATCGTGCAGGACTGATTCCCAGGACCTCGCGGTCGTGAGACTGGCGCTCTTCGACTGTGCCAATCCCGGCAATTGGATAACTAATATCCTATATAACAAATTACGTTCAAATTATGACTAATAGTCATAGATTTCTAAATTTTGACCCGTTCAACAAATAAAAGGTGGCCTTGAAAATGTGAATATATCAGATTTGTCCACATTTTCGAATAGAAAAAACCGGCCACCAAAAAATTTGCCCAAATATTTTACCCTGTAACTTTTTCAATCCTCATCCGATATTTCTGAAATTTCGATCAAATCCTAGATTCATTTTCCGGAATTTAAGCCTTGATATTGATTTCCGTGAAGAGCTGACGACTTGATTATTATACCTCACCTTCTACTAATCAACGCCCTGTGGCGGAAATGAGTTGTTGAATTTGGCTTCATTATGAAAAAATTAAGAGTTGAGAAATTCAAAAAAATTTTGAAAAAATACTTATGTCTTTGATTCTCTTATATCAACCTAAATCAATTCGAGAACTTATATTCAACAGTCTCTAGAAGAAACAACATTTTGATGTACTATGTATATGATTTGAAAATGATTATCTGATTATCTAATTTTTTTTTTTGATGCTCTTTCATAACTTTTCCTGCTATAAACATACAGTGTGACCCATTTAAGATGGAAGCACCCTTATAAAACTTACATTTTTCAACCGATTGGAATGATTTTTTTTTTGTTAGGTAGATATTCAAAAAGTCTATTAGGACACCAAATATCATGAATAAATCTCCATTTCCAGGGCCAACTAATCTGATTTCTCAAGGTCAAAAATCTAAAAAAATTACTAGCGATTTTTTTAGAAAAAATCTGCACCACTGGATTTGTGACATTTTCAAATGGGTAACATGTAAATTACGTTGAAATGCGTCAATCAATAAAAAAGTTATAAAGGAATGAAATTTGAAAAATATGCCGTTTAATCAACCCACCAATTCATGTTCAGGAATTTTATGAAAATTCTGTATGCTCCACTGGATTCAGGATGTCTTGAAATATTACTGATCACAGTTTCATCGAAATCTGTGTTCAGTAATAAAAATTGATGGGTTGATTAAACGGCATATTTTTCAAATTTCATTCCTTTATAACTTTTTTATTGATTGACGCATTTCAACGTAATTTACATGTTACCCATTTGAAAATGTCACAAATCTAGTGGTGTAGTCAGATTTTTTCTAAAAAAATCGCTAGTAATTTTTTTAGATTTTTTACCTTGAAAAATCAGATTAGTTGGCCCTGGAAATGGAGATTTATTCATGATATTTGGTGTCCTAATAGACTTTTTGAATATCTACCTAACAAAAAAAAAATCATTCCAATCGGTTGAAAAATCTAAGTTTTATAAGGGTGCTTCCATCTTCAATGGGTCACACTGTATATGATTCTTGGGAATAATGAAGATTATTATTATCTCATGGGATAACAACTCAAAGGATTCCAACTTCTTGTCATTCCAAATTACTTGTATCGATTATTTCGTATCCCAATAACTCGAAAACAGTTGCTCGCAGCGACCTCTACCAGGAATATATTTTTCACACAAGAGTGTTCTAGGAATCGATTTTCTTACTATGAAACGTTATACAGGTACGCACAAAATATTTATAAAAACTTTTCTTTTTATTTTGACGTCAGCAACATGCTCCTAAATTTTCTACACGTACTCAAGAAACACCCTGTATATTACGCATAGACCTATCACATTATTTTTGATTTTGAAAACTTGTAGATTATTTATATTTGAAAATTGAAGTAATAACGTATCGACAGTTTTTCCTGATAGTGTTTCTGAAATTGGAACGATTTATAAAACGGACTTTTGTATGAAACATAAATGGCACGATGAATACAAGAAAAATGTTTTGTATGATTTTTTCTCATCTTTTATCTATTCCGCGGCATCATTGCAAAATACTTCAATAAGTTCAATACCATTTCCGGTGCTCCTGGCCTCGTTAAAAAGTGAAAAAAATCGGGGTTTGGGTTCGGTTTTAAAGTGAAATATCTTTCGAAATTATTTGTCTTCGACCAAAATTCGTATTTTATTATTCATATTTGTTTTTTCATCTCCTTATATTCACACCATTTATGTTAACGCATTTTACAACTTTTCTCAAGTAATATAAGATTAGGTACAGTAAATTCAACGCTCTCTGTTATGTATAAAACATTAGACTATATCAGGCCAATTACCTTTTCTATGTAGATGTACACAATGAAAACAGAATAATGATGTTATACGAGCAACTGTTTTGTTGTTCAACAAGACAAAGTGAACTGATTAGGTGAGGCAATCCGATATCGATTGTCGATAGTATGAAGATAACTAGGATTCATAATACTCATATAACACGAATGGAGCTCAAGTTGAGGTAACAAAATGTACCGGGTGTACCACTAAGAAAGGACGCCGGCTGTATCTCGGAAACTATTTGCCGCACAGGTTTCGGAAAAAAATATTCATGATAAAAGTGGCCAAGAAAAATCTCTGGAAATTATTTTCAAGTTTCCAGGACAGCCTTATATACTCACTTGTATTGTACGGTGGTCCCTTATGAGTTTCGTGATACAATTGTATATGAAAGTCATGCACATCCCCGTCAATATTAATGAGAAAATCACCATGATGATGATGATGTGGTCTCCTGACCACGTCATGGAATTGGAGTTCTGGAACAGAAACAAAAGAATTACCAATCAGGTAAAACCTTTGGTAGAAGTCCATATTGCTCAAAGTGGAGTGGAAATGTTTCGAAAGGAGAAAGGAATTCTCAAAGTCGTCTCCACAAATATTCAATAATGTTGTTACGAACTCAGGGACGCGTTTTCGATCAGAAAAGACTTATATAGACTTGAACACGACACGTGTTGGCTGTTTGCCCAATGAATTTTTATTGATTTTTGCAACGTATTTAACTCTGTATTTTTTTGCTATGGGCATCGACAGGAAGAACTACTAGTGAGTAATTCAATTTTTTCAACTCCAAAACTAATATCAGGCTGAAGATGATCTTTCCTCAGATCAAAACATGTTTCCGAGTTCATAACAATATTAATGAATATTTCTGGTAACGACTTTGAGCATTCCTCCCTCCTGAGTCGCCAAGATCATCTCTGACTATTCCACTCTTATTCTCATGAACCAATCAGAATCGACCATTTTCTCGGATTCTCCTGTATTCCAGCAATATTTTTTGGTTACTAAAATGTACCAGACTTACTCTACCAATACAGAAACCGAATTGACCCACACGTGACCAACCAACCTCGTTTTTAACCGATAAAATGTTTGTCGTTTATAACGTCAACTATGTTGGAAGCCAGAATGATGGATGCACTGTACGCAACTCCCGCGAGGTGCTCGTGTTTTGTCTCAACCATGAAATATTCGTCGATTGACATAACATATTCCAGATTGCTGCTTTAATTTCGCTCATGAAATTGATTCTAACCTTCTCGCCTATGGCTCGAAAGTTCTGATAAACAATGTCATTCGCAAAATTATTAGGCAACGAGCTGTTGTAACAATCACAAAATAGTATCACTTGTGGTATATACATATGAATAGATATTCACGTAACCAGTTAGGAAACGCGTCATTTTGTGTGACAGAATGAGGTAAGGTGTATGTGACCAATGGGCGAGTGGACTCACAATGAATTATTGGCATTCAATCACCCCCCCAGGCAACCAGATGACGAATGATCACGTCACTGTGACGTCCCTGATTGGTGATTTTTCGTCAGAGACGTCACACACCAATTCATGACGTCACTATGACGTACTTTCTATGACCTGATAATCACGTCATCGTGACGACGTCGAGTAAACCTCACTTTGATGGGTAAAAGAAGACGTCAGTTTCATGACGTTGCAGGGACGTCCTGTCGACGTCCATTTATCCCAGACCTTCTCTAAACCATGGAAACTTATATATTATCATGTGAAACAGAAGTATAACTCATGAAAGCAAATCAACATGCAAGTTTCATTGGAATTATTAATATATCCGAAAATTAGGAGAAAACTTTGTTCTTAAAAACTTTGATACACTGTATAACTCGGAAGCCAACGAGCTATGTATATATACAAATGATTGTTGAGGTATACTTATATTGAAACCGTTACTCTTATGACGTTGCAGTGACGTATCTATGACGTCTAAAAATCACGTCGATGTGACATAACAATTTGGTGAGCTTCGTCATTCAGATAATTTTTCAATAATTTGCTATTTGGATTTTTCTTGGGTGACAAAGAATGCATCAATATACATTATTCAAAAAAGTGAAGCCAAATTCGCCAATATCCTTTCCATTGCTATCAAACTATTCTTTGTTTGCTTACATCTCGCCGACACAAACTACATAATTTTTGATGCAAATATATACGAGTAACTGATTGCATGCTGATGGAGATGCGTACTGAAGGCGATAGCGCTGCTGAATAGGCGATTGAATGTACATTGTACAGGGTATCCCAATTTGGGCACTTTTGCGGGGTATCTCCCTTATCAGTAAAGATAGAGCATTGCGGTTTTCGCGACAGTGTGCTACTTTTTTATGAAATTGATAATGGCGCAAGCAGAATTGTGATAGCTCTTCCGGTTGTCGAGGTACAGGGTGGAATTGAAAAATATCACTTTTCAGACACCCTCCGTGTCTCAGTTATCTTTGAACTTATCGAAGAAGTTAAAACTTGTTTTTATAGAGTTTTTCTCGTAGAATCCAGTGGCGTAGTTATTTTTTTGCTAGCACCTGTTGTTTTTTAGTTATGGAGCAAACATATGTTTTTTTAAAAGGAACACCCTGTATATTATTTCATATATACATTGAGCATGAAGTGGGCTTTCCAAAAATATATAATTGTATACAATTATTTTCCATTTAAAAAAACATATGTTGGCTCCATAACTAAAAAACAAAAGGTGCTAGCAAAAAAATAACTACGCCACTGGATTCTACGAGAAAAACTCTATAAAAACAAGTTTTAACTTCTTCGATAAGTTCAAAGATAACTGAGACACGGGGGGTGATATTTTTCAATTCCACCCTGTATCTAGACAACCGGAAGAGCTACCACAATTCTGCTTGCGCCATTATTAATTTCATGAAAAAGTAGCAAACTGTCGCGAAAACCGCAATGCTCTATCTTTACTGATAAGGGAGATACCCCGCAAAAGTGCCCAAATTGGGATACCCTGTACATGACACAGGAGGGAACCACAAAGCAGACTCAACAATGCATAATCAATATTATATAATGTCATCAGATGCCAGTGGTGTTTATCACACCATGTTAAAGGAATGTTTTTTACGTATCATCGCCAAATTTAATCGTCATTTTGACGCTCGTTTTGACGTCATTATGACGTAAGTCGGACGTCACAGTTTGTTGAGTGAATGACGTCAATACGACGTGAGTAATATGACGTCATTGGGCTGTGACTAATTCATGTTATTATCACGTCCTGCGACGTCAACTACTGACGTCACCTTGGTCATTCAACTGACGTAAAAAATACGTCACTGGAACGTCATCTGGTTGCCTGGGCCACAGTGTAGTTAGGGACCTACATTGATTTTTGCAACACTTCTCATGGTTTTTATGTATGTTATGTGAATATTTTGAGAAAATTGATGTTTAATGTCTAATTGGGAAAATAACCAATACAAATTTGAGAATTTATGAATCATTGAATAACTAATATTTCTGAAGTTCCAATCGTTTTTCAACATAATATGGCAACTGTGCTGTGCTGTGTCTGTCTCTACTGACGAAATCGAGACGTCAGTTACAAATTGCAGTACATTTTTAGTTGTTTGAAAATTACCGTGGCATTATTGTTGATTTTAGCTCTTTAAAATCGAGCAAAAAAATACTAAAATAATATGAAATTGAAATGTATTTGAGTGATGATTCTATTTATTTGTTCAGGAAGGAATTGAAAACATGACATTTGAATTTCAATGAAGTTAATGCGATTCACGCCCATGAAACAAGGCAATAAATCCATTGATAGCAAATAATTATGAGTCAAATTTTGATAAAAAATTAATATTCCATTGTGGAATAATTTTATATAACTCCTTACTTGATGAGTTGAAGAATTTGAAAGAATAAGCAGAAATCAGAGATTTGAAATCAATTTGAAGAAATATCTGATCAGTAAACTCTTTTTCCATGTCTACTAATCATTTACAATTTGATTACTTGAAATGGATTATAATATTTTCATTTTATATCACATTTTTTTCATGAAAAACAATGATTGTGCAATTATTATTGTTCTAATTCATTATGTTATATATGTCCATATTATAAACAATAATGTTTCTTGGGGTAATGAGTACAATCGAACAAATAAAAAAGGAATAAAAAAGAAATTGGTTCACTCGCCTATTAGACGACCCAACAACCCAGACCCGGAATAAATCAATTATTGTAACATTAGTGCATTTCTTATTTCAAGTTTGATAACCAATAACTAATCTTTGAATTCCAATGAGTATTTTGAAGAATTTTTCTCGATTTGAAAACTCCTTGTTGAGTCAATCTTTTAATCTTTATATCTATAATTAGACATAGTAATAATACCTTCCAGCAGTTTTCTAAAAGTTTTCGCATTACCAACTTTTCATTTTATCATCTATACGTGCCGTTGAAAAATGGTTGAATATATTCTCTAGAGTCTAGACAATTATTAGCTGCACAGTGAAAATCGTAGAAGCTGAACATGATTAATATTGCTCAATATAATATGGCTATCTGAAAGTAGATCTGTACATAAAAAAAATGCTGACTATTTTGCAGGATTGCATTGGGATCATATTTTGAGATCATCTTGTGATATAGGGTGTAGAAACACAAACTAATTCGTTCTATATTATATGACTCTTATTGAAGCTTACTTCAAACGCATTAACTGACACTCACAATGGATATTGAATATAATGATATCGATCCAGATATTCCATGATCGACCAAAGTTACTTATAACCTCAGTTTTTGATGGTGTCAAAACATTTAAATACAAAAGGTGGCTATCAACCCCTAACAATTGAGACAGATGAATGAGACGTCAAGATAAGTATGAAAAAATGAGTATAATGTATACAGGGTGAGCCAGAATAAGACCGACAAACTTCCTACACGGATATATTGCTCACCTCATTCTGGGGTGAAAAGTGCCTATCAACGAATGTCCTAAAATGCATCCTCACTGAGATACAGGGTGTCGAAACTACAAAAATAGATTTCTCTGAATTTCTCAATTTCCAAAAATATATAAAACTCGGTATACCGATCTAGAATAATCAGGGTAATAACATGGAGTTTTCATTTCTTGAGTTTGTCAACCAGTGGCGTAGTTAGGGTCGTATAGCGTCACATTTTCCTTCATATTTTTTCTTAGACAGATCAATTGTCAATTTGGTTTATGACATCTAGTCTCATCGATACCTAACCTAAAAGTAATAACATTCTGCATGCCTAAGTGTAGAGGTTCCCAAGATATTTGCAAAAAACTAAAGATATGTCTTGAGGTTGAGACCCAATTCCTCGCCCAATTCGCTGCGTGCCATAATCGCATGATGCTGAACTTTTACGAGAAATCACAATATTTTTCAATCGCCTGAACATTTTTGGATGTTATTCATAAGATCGAAAGCATTGTACGGGTGAGTCAGAATTAGTTCGAGAAACTTCTTCTACTGTTGTTTTAATAGTTTGATGGTTCTGACAAATTTAAGATGGCTTACGACTATTAACCTCTAGTTTGTCGATTTACTTTTGACTCAACCACACAATGTTTTTAATTTTTTCGACATTCAAAAATATTCCGGAGGTTGAAAAGTCGATATCTCGTATAATATCAGCATCATGCGATTATGGTATTATGGTAAAAGAGAAGTATGGCCGGCGCGAGTAGTCACGTTAGCAGTGCGGTCTGCAGAAAATGTAATAAAACTGCAGTAAACTTCTTAAAATGTGTGAAATGTACTAACGTATATCATTTGAGATGTGCCAAGTCGGCGGATAATGTGATAGTTCAAAATGACGATTTTATAATATGTTGTGATGCTGAGTCCAGTGTAGAGGAATCAGGCGATTGCTTCTTCGAAGCATTGGAAGGACCTTCAGATGATAAAAAGGTGGATATAAACGTCTTCCGTTATATAATAAAACAAAAGGATACTATAATTGGCGAGTTACGCGACAAAATAAAAATCCTTCAAGATCACATAGAACTTTTGAATAAATTCCACATCGCTGAGGCAAACCCAAAGCGAGTTGGAAAAAACGCGAAACACGAGATCGCCAGTCTCGAAACAAAAACAACGAAGGTGGTAAAAACTTCTGATAGCGATATGGGCCAAATTGCGATCTCGGAGACTAAGGTCAATGAACCCGCAAATAAACAAGTGAATAAAAATATAAATACACCAATAATGCCGGAAACTGTTTCGGCTGAAATTTTGAAAGTTGAAACAGCAACGAAAATGAATGACATAATCAACTTAGTGAAAGATCCCAACGCAGATACTGATGATGTAACACCAACAAAAACACATGAAGAATGGAAACCAGTGCAGTACCGTAACAACCGTCGCAAAAAACAACTCATTATTGGGCAAAACTCAGGATTGCCCATCAAAGGAGTTCCGAAACTAGCAACCTTACATGTGTGCAGAGTCAACAAAGAGACGACAGCAGAGGATTTGACGTTGATGCTAAAGAACCACTTCTCCGAGGTATCATGTCAATCGATTGTGCCTAAATTTCCGGCAAAATATGCGTCATTCAAGGTGACCATCAATGAAGTAAACTTCACAGCTGCTATGAATCCGATTATCTGGCCGGAGGGAGCTTGCATCAGCAGGTTTTTTCATTGGAAACCAAGACAGAGGACGGACGACTGACCATATCTAGTGATATTAATAACAAAACATCCTGTAAGGTGGGTGTCTTACATTTAAATATCAGGTGTCTATCAAACAAGATTAATGCCCTTGAACATTTTCTATTTGACAAAAATGTATCTGTGCTATGTCTCAGTGAACACTGGCTATCGAATGATGATCTAAACAATATCCAAATCAAAAATTTTACTCTGGCTGCTTCTTTTTGTAGAAGAGTTAAGAAACATGGAGGCGTGGCGATATTCTGTAAATCTAACATCGTATCCAAACCTATTGCATTGAACGATTATTGCATTGAGTCACATGCCGAATTTAGTGGAGTGGAAATTCCAGTGATGAAGTGTGCCATTGTTGCTACTTATAGATCACCAGTTGATGGTGACGTAAATATATTTTTGGATAAATTTGAAGAAATATTACTACTTTTATCATCCAGATATACACATATAATCGTCGTTGGTGATTTTAATGTCAACTTCAAAGTCAATAGTCAAATTCTGACTGAACTAATTTGTTTAATCAAGTCTTTTGGTCTAGAAGTTATCATTGATGAGTATACCAGAATCGATATAAAAACAGGCACAGGGTCCTGTATTGATAATATCATGACCAACTACGATTCCGACAACTATGTATCTGGTGTCGTAGAAACCTGTCTTTCTGATCATCGAGCACAATTTATTCTGATAGATGAACCACTTTGTCATAAACCTAAAAAAATTTTGAGAAGAAAATTGACTCCCCATAATGCTGAGGCATTCAAGAAAGACATATCTTCCTTCAATTGGGATATTTTCAAACAATCAGATGACGTAAAGTTGTTATCAGAAATACTGATGGATACTCTGAACTTTTATGTTGAAAAACATTTTCCTTTAAAAGTCCAAACAGGCAACCGATCAGCACACCCTGTTAATTTTTTCAACCAGAAATTGAAAGAAATGAGGAATATCCTCACCTCATTAAAAATCATTAGCGATGCCTCTGATAGTGATATGAATAAAAACATTTACAAAAAATACAGACGAGAATATAATTCTGCTTTAAACGAATCTAAAAAAATAGCTTACAGTAACTACATACAAAGCTCTCAAAACAGATGCAGAGATTCTTGGAAACTGATAAATTTCGAACGTAACAAACACTCAAAAACTGATTTTTCTGATTGTGAATTAACAGCGGACCAATTCATCAATTATTTTTCATCAGCCGCTGAATTGTTAACTGAACGGCTAACGACTACTGATAAAGATTCGAATTCTTTCCTGAAAACATTGCCAAGCAATAAAAATTCGTTCTTTTTCTTTCCTGTTTCTATAAACGAGGTAATTAATGCTATAGATTCATTGAAAAACACCAGCTGTTATGATGTTCACAGTCTAAACAGCTTGATTATCAAGAACATAAGAGATGTCATTGCAGAGCCACTTACAGATTTGTTCAATTTATGTTTCTCTAGGGGAGTTTTCCCTGAAGTTTTTAAAAAAAGTAAATTAATACCAATTATTGGTAAGGTTTTTGAAATAATAATTAAAAACAGGTTGACATCGTATTTTGACTTTAACAATTACATAAATGATCAACAATATGGATTCAGGAAAAACCGCTCCACAATTCAAGCCGTTCGTAAACTGGTGTCTGATATAGTCGAAGGTTTTGAAAATGGCCAACAAACTGCGGTAACTTTATGTGACCTGAGCAAAGCCTTCGACTGCGTTCCACATCGAGGTTTACTTGAAAAGCTTGAACTTTATGGAGTTCGAGGGACAGCTTACTCCTTTTTCGAGACATATATATGCGGGAGAACTCAATACGTGTCATACAAGAATAATACGTCAGCGTGTAAGCCGATAACCTCAGGAGTGCCCCAAGGATCTGTTCTTGGGCCACTTCTGTTCATAATATTTATAAATGATATATTCTATCACATCAAACCAAGTCAGTGTATATTGTTCGCTGATGATATAACTTTTTACAATTCCGCCCTGAATTCAACAGAACTTCATCAGAATGATGTTGAAGCTTCTAACAGAATCAGTGAGTGGCTCATTCCCAACAACCTGATTCAAAATGACTCCAAAACACAGTCAATTACTTTTTCCTCCAACACTGTCGTTGCCACAAATGTACCAGTAAAACTGTTAGGTATCACCCTAGACAGCAAACTTAGGTGGGCTGAACACATTGACATACTGTGTAAAAAGTTGTCAAGTCAAACCTTCATCCTCAGGCGGTTGAGGAATACTGTTGATGAGAAAGTTCTGAAAATGTCATACTTCTCATTGTTCCACTCACATCTGAGTTATGGCGTGATTTTATGGGGTAACTCTACCCACGCAAACCGTGCCTTCATTCAACAAAAGAAAGCAGTTAGAGTAATTGCCAAGGCAGCTTACAAAGATTCATGTAAACCCTTATTCAGGGCATTAGAAATATTGACACTTCCTGCACTTTATGTGTATTATTGTTTGGTTGAAATACATGATCATGTTCACAGCTATAGCAGACATAAAGATCTACACAGCTACTCCACCAGAAATAACTCCCAGCTCATAAATCCTAGATTTCGTCTCAATATTTCATCAAAGAACTCAATCAATTTGAATTTATATAACAAAGTACCAGCATCTTTCAAAGAGCTCAGCTCCTCAAAATTCAAATTAGCTATCAAACAGCTTCTACTGAAACACAGTTTTTACTCGGTGGATGAATTTCTGTCCTGTGATTTAACAAGAATAACACCATGACATATATATGAAAATACACCCATCTTACGTACCTATTACTTTTAAAAATATTTTAAACCATGAATCAGTGTTGTGTAACTATATGTATACTTGTTGCTTTTATTTGTTATGTTCACATATCGTTTATTTTTAATATTTCTTATAACAAGATATTTATATCTACGGACATGTTCCAAACTATTTGACGTGTGTAATGAATGAAATTTTCAAAGACACCAATAAATTCTATTCTATTCTATTCTATTCTATGCAGCAAATTAGGCCTCTATACTCAATATTACTTCAAGATATATCTTAGGCATGCAGAGTGTAATTTTTTTTAGGTGGAGTATTGATAATCCTAACTGATGTCATTCACTAATTTGATAATTCATTTGTCTGAGGAATATTTTGAAGGAAGATGTGGCGACATACGACCCTTACTACGCCACTGGTTTACGAAATTCGAAAATGACAACTCCCTGTGATTACTCTGATTAATCTGGATTGGTGTACCAAATTTCATATTTTTTGCTACAGGGGTTCTGGAGGAATTCCGAGAAATCTTGACCTTATTCGGTATTTGAACACCCTGTATCACAGTAAGGATGCATTTTAGGACATACGTTGATGATAACTTTTCACCCCAAAATGAGGTGAGGAATCCGTGTACGAAGATTGTCGATCTCATTCTGACTCACCCTGTATATGAACTCAATTATAATATAATCTCACCTGGCAATCATCATCTTCTTCATCCCACCTGAATCTGCAGTTAAATTTCTTATTGCATTTCAGGTCTTCGTGAATACATGTGGCGTCTTCACAATAAAATTCATTTTTCTGGCATTTCAGGTTCTTTCCTGAAACAAATATTTGAAACCTTTGATTGAATTTCATATTATTTAACGAGGTGTTCTGAAATCCATTGTACATGTTTGTAATGTCAAAATAATACACTTTTGATGGTGTAAGGGATGAGGAAGAGATTGTCGGTTATAATAGCACAAGTGCATGAAAACTACCGATAATTCTGCAAGAAAGCGTGGTATCTAAAAATTGCAAGTTTATTTTCATATTTTGGCGACGGGATGTTTTCGCAGTGCAACCTATACGCTCTGCCGTGCAATTACCGATGTTATTTTTCGATAATTGCATTGATCTTATGAGGAATTTTATACATGGGGGAATTATTCTGTGATTCAATATTGCGAGTATTTTTGTCAGAAACAGAAACAGAAATTCAAATTTCGAGAATCTTGACGAAATACCAATATTTTTCCGCAATCTCACAAGAGTTATACAAGATATCTGTACAAAATTGGGAGAAAAAAAAATATATCTACTAGCATGTATAGGTACAGTTTGTTACAAATACATTGCTGACCATTTCATGCTCAACAAAATGCTGCTTTGAAATTCCAAAAATTCCGATTATTTCCGGAGATATCCGAAAAAAAAAAGGAAAATATGCAAAATCGTTCATATCCAATACCCAGTTTATTTGAAGAGATATTTCAAAATGAATATCTCTTCATCATTGCCCCGTTTTTCTTCTCTATGGAATGGAATTGTGAAATTGGAAATCCGACGTTCCTTCTTCGAGCGGCCATCAACTTTATTTTTTTTAAAACGTACCAAAACAATTCATACAATGTTACTCCAGTGAAACAATGTTTTAAAAATGGTATGGAGATCTCGATGGAGATACTCCTTTTTGTCTAACACATCATTCAGTGCGAAGTATATCTCCTAGATAATTGGATTGCTCTTATTCAAAATGTATTATTAGTTAAATCAAACCAAAAATGGAAATCACAAAATTGTTTATCATTCAATGAAATAATATTTATGAATGATGACAACACAATTTAATCAAACAAATTCCGAACATTAGGTTTTCGTTCATAATAAATGCTCCAACATAGCATTCAGTTCCTTTTTCTCAAACCGCCACTAGATTTTTTCCTCTAACACTGTTTACAAGAACGGCTCGATTTCCTCTATAGAAGATAGAAGAAACTACAAACGGAAATATTTTTGAGCATTTACTATGGAAGAAAACCTAATGTTCGGTATTTTTGCATATTAATTGAATTGTGTTTTCAAGATTCATAAATATTATTTCATTGAATAATAAACAATTATTGCTCAATCATCATTTTTGGTTTCGTATAACTAATAATGCATTTAGAATGAGAGCCATTCAATTGTGTAGGAGGTACTTCGTACTGAATATTATGTTAGACAAAGATCAGTATCTTCATACCTTCAATAAACATTGTTTTCATTGAAGTTAAAATTTCAAGTGATGTTTTGATACACCATCATATCGAGGAGATCCACAACTATCGAAATATGAAATAAAAAAATTCATGTCCGTGTTTTAAAAAATAAATTGATGATGATATCTCTTCAAATTAATTGAGTAAAAAAAATAACGATTTTGCATATTCTTCTTGTTTTTTTCGAAAATGGTGCAACTTTGCCTTAAGTTAACCTACTCTGTATCTCTCAAGGTTAGCGAGATCCTCATGCTTAGCCACGGATTTGTAACACCCTGCATATGGTCTCTGAAAAAGCAATGAATAACTATAATATTCTATTGGGTCTCTCACCTGGTCCAAGATCTCTGAAAGCGGTGAAATTCGCTCTGAACAGAGTCTTGTTCGACTTGGACTCCGAAAAGAACCTAACGAACATTTTGCTACCCGTGGAAAGAACAGTATCAGCTATGGACCCACAAAATTCCTTGTATTCCGTAGACATGTCGGTCCTATTAGAAAACACTTGTACGAAGTTGCTGTGGCAGTCGTTTGGTTTTTCGAGATTGAATTCGGCAAATTGAAGATACACCTGTAAAAAAACCGTAGTAGAAGTGATGAATTTGAAACATTGTTAGCTCATAATGGATCATTAGAAATTCTACTACCAAAGGATGGCAAAACTGATGATTATTTGTAGAGGAAGGTTGCCTGGATCAGAAAACGCGAGGTGAATTGGTAATTCGTGACGTTATCGCATCCAAAATTTCATGTTGGATGCATAGAAATGTATGCATAATTTTCTAGATCACAACTGGATATGTGAATGGGCTTGAAGATAGTTTCAGAATATAGATTCTCATGACTCCGAGATGGAGTTTTGGATGTAATTACTTCACAAATGTAATGTAAGAACATTGCACCAATACGACGTCTCGTTATTAAATTAAACCAGCATAGATTTGATATCAAATAGTCATGAGGTTACATCAAAAACAGAAAAATATGTGATGTGGCACCGACATTCGTCAAACAACATCTAATCGACGTGAACCTATTCATAAAATATAGTTCATAAAATGTTCATAAAATGAACGAAAATCGTAGATTACGAGAGAAAAACAACTATTTTCCGAGCTGTCTCTAAGTGGTTCAAGAGCACGTGACTAGCTGCAGACCGCTTTCGAGATGTTGCCTCTCATCAGTGCAGGGCTGTCCCAGATAGCATTCTTGACCGCTATCTGGTGCGAACCTGACCCAACGTGAACACATCTCAGCATTGGTGTCTAATGATCGCGATGTCACCTGGTATATGGAGAACTAAACGTAGCATGATTCTGATATGGACGGTGAAGGAAACATGTAGAATCAGACTGAGAAATTTTTGTTATTGTGAAAGAAACTCCCGGTTTCTCCGGAAGCGAAGTCATATTTGTTATTTTCAATAGGACTCCCTACTCCCTGATTCTGATTCTGATTCAAACTTGTACATAGATCCAAGTATGAATTTGAAAAAAGTAGGGCAACTTATGACATTTCAATCGCAAAGCTAATTCTGATTGAAGTTCAGTATCAGTGATTTGAAAGCATCAGTATGAAATCATAGCAATCTCGATATAGTGATAACACAAAAACATTAACATTAGAAATAGAAATAACAAATCATAACTTACTCGCCAATTATTTTTGACTGTGATGGACCACAGGCAATCGATAGGCATTTCGTTAACTGTATAAAAAGTTAGGGTATCATTATCTATGTCGAATTTTCCAAATTCTCCCTCTTCCTCCAACGTGTGGTTCATATAGCATGGGATCATTTCTGGGGTTCTCACTGAAACAAAAAACAACATTTTATATATTGCAGGAATCTCTCAGAATGGAAACATTCCCTGATTTATCGGATTGTGAATCGGGCACTTCAATCCCATCACCGATTTGAATCTAGGGCAAGCATCATATGAGCTAAGGAGTCGACTTCAATCGAATGCCAACTGTATACAGGGTAAAATTCGATACTTGCCTCTATATTTTCATGGAAGAATGTGATGGATCTATTTGACATTTTTGAGGATACTATTTACAAATCTCCAATCTCAGATGTTGGAGGGTATATTGAGTATTGGTAAACTGAATTCCTTTGGAAGAGTAGAGACTAGAGACCGAATAAATATTCAAAATCAACAGGAAAATCCACTGGAATTGGGTTGGGGAAGCAGTTTATCTCTGCTTTTATGATAGGATACGAATAATAGATGTTAAGACTACTAATTAACGGAATCTAATGCCGGAAGTTATGGAAACAATTTTAATCAAGATGGTGTAGGATTTGAAGGCCTTGTTATATAATAACACTATTGTTCAACGTTGACTTCCTCTCAATACCATGAAGTAATAGTTGTTTCGAGGGAGGATCTGACTGAATTTCTAATAGAAATGATGGAAGCTGAAATGATGACGATATTTTCAACATATTGAGGTAGAACAGATAACATGAGGAATAACCGATTCGCCTCGCCAATAAAGCAAGATGGAATATACAGAGTGAGTCATAGTTTTTTATAGCAGATCTTCAACAGCTTGAAGAAGATACTATTTCAAGATGAAAATCTCAGGTGAACCTTCATATGCGTATATAGGAGCCCATTTTTTTATATCTACAGGTGAGCTGGTGTAATATTTTTATATTTTTTTGGTGTTTTTCAAGTTTTGCCACTGACATGCGCACTCAACTGATTACTTCCAGTTCCTCTGAGAGATTCAATTATACAGTACGTCTGAAGAAAGTGGCAACAAATGCAACAAAACTAATTCTTCATAACAAATTCTAAAAAACCTGGAACCGAAAATGCAAATATCAGATATTGTTTTTTTTTCTCAGTCGTTCCCGAGTAGAGTACCTTTATTTCAGATATCAAGATTCATTGATTAGAAAAGTTGACTAGAATTGAGAACTACGGTCAAATATCAAATCATGTCTATCTACTATGAATATCAGGTTCAATAATTGTTATTAATTTTACGAAAAAAAAAAACACTTTTCATGAAAAAGGCTCGGAACTAGGAATGCAGATTTGAGGTAGTAGGAGGGTTATGTGAGCGCACCTCAGAGGTGCAGCAACCTTGAACGTGGGCGGCCTTGAACGTGTGTGGTCTTGGGCATGTGACTGCACCGCACCGTCGCCGCAGTGACGTCAGTGACCTTGGACGTGGGTGGTCTTGTGCGTGTGACGACACGGCCTTCGAAGGGCTCTGCTGGAGACAGCTGCTAGACCGTTTGTATCGACCCGGACCGTGAGTGGTCTTGGGGGTGCGACGAAGCGGGCATCGCATGGTATTCACCGTAGTACGTACCGCTTTCGATGTTCAAACACCAGTTGCTGTTCAAGGACGTTGTTGTTAGAAGTTTCTTTCGGTTCGATGAATGCTGGAATATATCTTATACCTACGAATGTTTATGGCATTCACCGCACCGCTTCTTTTTTGGACCTCTGTAAGTTTCTAGAACGTACCTACGTAGGACGATGCATACAATTTTACCTTCCTAATCAATACGCTTGGATATGCTATTTACTATACGCAACGTTTTGTCTATCTTCACACTCTTGACCCGCTATTGAATTCTTACTGTTTCCGCTGTAGGAAAGTTACTTTCAACATTTTTTTGGAATTCTTACGAATAGCAAATCAAGTCTATGATTGAAATTACATTAACCGCTTACAATAGCTGGCTTAACAAGCTGATATATGAATATGAAATCAATTATTTGTCGCCTTGGATATCATGTGGCATTGGTTGCGGCCTTGAAAGTCTGTGTGTATGAACATATTTGTTCAAGGTCGTTGTCATAGAATCTTTTCTTGTCTATGATATTCCCTTCACCACGATTCTCTACAATATAACCAGATGGATCCTAGATTTGAGAACACAAAATAGAAGCGACTCGTTTGGTGAAAATATAAGTATTAAAATGATGTTGAACAAGTTTCTCGTGAGAAAGTGAAGTGTGCTGTGTAAGTTGAAATGTTTTTATATATTTATCATACCTCTCTTTCGCTGTGCAGTTAACGATAATTTGAAGAAATACGTCTGAAGTACGTGGAATTGATATAGAATCCATCAATAAGATGATCGATCGCGATGCTGATATCATTCAACAAATATCGATTTCAACTCTGATCGTGGGGCATCCCTACGTAATTGAAAGAATATGTTGTTGCGTAACTAGATTCGGAAGAGGGGTTTATACATTATCATGCGATGAACGTGACGGCGCTACTTTCAAATGTTGGCTTCCAAAACTTGTCTCAGATAATTTGAGCGAAGGTGATATTGAAGCTATGAATTCAGCCAATGGGGGATATAGCCTGACATACACAGGTCAGAATAAACCAGCATATGCAGGGGCAAAATCGAGGTCTCTAATAAGATTCGATAGACGATAATAATCTCCTCAATATCTTAGATATATTAAATAAGTATAGTTATACGAAAGGGTGGATGAAAAATATTTAGAAATAGTTACTTACATATCACATACTAGTAATCTCTGACTATATAATAATCATTATTATTGTAAGTATAAAGTTAACCTACCATATAAGAAGTGTATGTTAATGTCGTATATTTGTTTCAGATACCAGACTTTCAAGCCTCCCCTGAACACAATGTGGATGCACTTTTCAAGCCAGGGATGGGATAAAGCAGAAGATATCGATTCTGGAATAAGGAGGCTTTCATGTGAATTCCGCGATCTAAGAATGGATGCTTTACATGCAACTAATTATGATATGAACGTGTGTTTTGATCCCGTGGAGATTCGAAGACTCTCCGATCTAGCTGATCAATATAGAATTTCGGTTTGGATATGGAAGTTTGAGCTTAGATGTGTTTTGTCAAGATATGGTGGAAGCTGAATTGGAAGGGTTCTTGTATGAAATATTCGATTTCCTTCCTGGCAGCATATAAGCAAATATAACCTTCATCGAGAATCTGAGGAAGAAGATGATGCTGATGATGGCGAGGGTGACAGAGGTTTAGACGAAGTCGGGGATATCAGAACTTAGTAATTGAATATGTCTCTCTTAATGTAATTATATACGGCCTATACTGTATCGCTATTAGGTAGTTAATTTTCTCAATAAATGTTCGATATAATCATATGCTATTTTATTATTCTAAGTAAGTCGTTCACAACGAAATGGTGGAAGAAGATGTTGATGGAACGATGTATAAAAATAAATATTGATTTGCTGATAGAGCTGTAGATAAAGTAATAGATGCAAATATTCAGCGAATTGTATATTTTTTAATGCAATCAGTAACCTATACACTGATAATATTGGATAGATGATATTCATGCATGAATAATTTTATTATTACTATAAGTAGGCACGTAATTATCATTACAGAGCAAGTAAATAGGTATGATATATTCCGAGGAGTTCTTGTTAGAATCGACACATACAAAGTGCTCTTCATAGGTCAGATATGCATCATGAATAACTAATGCATAGACTCTGGTATTGTTACGGAGATATATCTCTACTTGAGTCGTTATCAAGTCACGATGACTAACACCTGTGAAGGATTGTCACTCGAATTTTGCAACACCTATATACTCTGAGGAATCGTTACAGGAATTGCGACCAAGAAGTGGTTTCTGAATCGAACTATCTGTTGACAATTTTTCCAGATCAATTTGAATATTATAGCTGATTGGACATCGCCGACATCTACAGAAGCATTGAAGGTTGGAATTAGATGTTTTATCTGTTGAATACCGCCACGAACTAACTTGGAACCACCCTGGAATCGGTCTGAACAACCCTGGAATCAGTCGGAACAACCCTGGAACCAGTCGGAACCACCCTGGAACCAGTCGGAACCACCCTGGAACCAGTCGGAACCATCCTGGAACAAGTCTGAACCACCTTGGAACCAGTCGGAACCACCCTGGAACCAGTCGGAACCACTCTGGAACCAGTTGAAACCACCCTGGAACCAGTCGGAACCACCCTGGAACCAGTTGAAACCACCCTGGAACCAGTCGGAACCACCCTGGAACCAGTCGGAACCACCCTGGAACCAGTCGGAACCACCCTGGAACCAGTCGGAATCACCCTGGAACCAGTCGGAACCACCCTGGAACCAGTCGGAACCACCCTAGAACCAGTCGGAACCACCATGGAACCAGTCGGAACCACCCTAGAACCAGTCGAAACCACCATGGAACCAGTCAGAACCACCCTGGAATCCCCCTGGAACCACCCTGGAACCAGTCAGAACCAGCCTGGAACCAGGTGAAGACATCTGAAATCATAAGAAACCAAGACTAGGAAGTGCTTTCTGAAACACAGTCATCAACAAACACAAATCCCAATCCCACAACTAGGTACACGTCGGGAAAATCCGTTTTCAATAGTCGCAACTCATAAAGTCATCCTTTGAATGGATCACCGTCAAAACCTTCGAGCAAATATGTAATCAGACCGAACATATTTCTACTTTGACTATTTTGAAGAGCTCCGTTGAAAACAAATTTGCTCTGTATCCAGGTAGAAAAACATAATATCATGTTGACGACAACTATTTCGAGGATCGAATCTGAGGGTTTTATTTGAATATATAAGTTTTTTTGATAGGTTTATCATAATTTCTGCTTTTACACTCTAATGATCTGGTACCTGCACTAGGAATCTAATGAAATGGGATAAATGGGATAAAGGCGGTTTTTACTATCTATCATATAGATTGCCTGTCCTGCGAGGTGAACGTGTTTGTCTCGTATCCGACAAAATTCCAATTTTTCTGTGTTCGGCAAGTTTTTAAGT